ATCACCACCTGGCTGGCTTGATGCCAACTGCCCTGCATTTCAGGGCTTCCTCACTTCTGTCACTTGTTTGTTCTTATATATGAATTTTATTTTTTAGATTTTTAAGAAATGTTTATTTCGCGCTGCATCGGATCTCGGGTGTAGTGTGTGGGATGCTTCATTGCGGCACGTGCGTTTCTCTCTTGCTGGGGCACGCGGGCCCTCGAGTGCAGACTCCGTAGCTGTGGCACTTGGGCTGAGCTGCCCAGTGGCGGGTGGGATCTTAGTTCCCCAAGCAGGGATCAGTCCCACGTCCTCTGCATTGGGAGGCAGATTTTTAACCACTGGACTACCAGAAGGTTCCTGTGTGAATTTTAGAATCACCCTGCCTGACTCAAGAAAACACAGTGTTGCGTTTTTAGAAAAACTGGACTCACCCTTAAGTGTGCAGGTTAATGTGAGAGACGCTGAGTCTCTTTTTTAAACAGTGACCGTATCTAGGTTCTTTGTCTTAACGTTTGGTTGCTTTGTGTTTCTGAGGCTGGAAGGTCACCCTGCAGTGTGAGGAGAGAGCCAGTGGTCTGTGGGTGTCTTTACAGACCCTAGGGCTTCCTCCTGGGGTTGCTGGCAGCCCCTTCCCCAAGGCGTGCCACCCCCTGCTCCTGTGGTCCGGGGCAGACGCCTCCTCCCAGTAGTCAGTACAGGCCCCCCAGCTTCTGCTGGAGCTGGTCTGCCGGTCTTTCTTTGGAGCCTGTGTCCCTGTTTCTCCTCCGGCTCTGGGCTTCCACTGGCATCTCACACAGAACTCGCCTTTGTGTCACCAGGCACCCTCCGGGAGGCCATAGATCATTTCAGCAGCTCCTCTCTGGCCCTGCTGGGGGGCCTGGAAGACAAGCCAGGCAGTACCGTCAGGGGCCTGGCTGCCTTTGGGTCATGTTTATGCGGGTCTTCCGTTAAGTCCAGGATGACAGAGCTCAGACCAGAACTGAGCTCCTCAGCTCTGGCTCACTGAGACAGTGATCACTGCCCCGGCTGGTGACACGGTAGGGCCCCCGAGGAATGGGAAGCTGAAACTGCTCCATGTAACTACACCAGGGCTCGGGGTCTGCTTTGGGAGCCTCCCGGCCGAGGGGCCACACAGTGGGGTGGGGGGTAGCGGCTGAGAGGGAGCAGGGTGTGCGGCCTGCCGTCCCCCCTCCTGCCCTCTCCCCCGTCTCCTGCTCACCTCTCGCCCCCAGCAATCCTACGATGCGCTGCTGCTGATGCTGATGCTGGAGCTGCTGCTGCAGGCGGGCCTCAACACAGCCACGGTCATCCAGTGTGTGCGCTTCAAGGTGGGCGCGTCCTGGGACGCCGCGGGCGCCCCGCCCAGCCCACAGGAGCGCCCGGCGGTCGGGGAGGTGAGTGGCCTCTGAGCCCATCTGGAGGGGAGGGGAAGGGGGGGCCTGCCGTCCTGGGACCCTGGGCAAAGCGACACCAGCCCAGGCTGACTTCTTTCAAGACCTGTTGGGTCACTTTCTCTATTTAAAACAAAGAAAACTCTTGAAAAGGTGCAATACATTTATACAGTTTCTAAGCCAGCCAGGCAAACACAAATCCATTTCTGAAAAGATATTATGGACTGAATGCTTCCAGTTTTACTCTTATAAATGAGCTGAGAACTTGGCAAACATCTCCAGGGATCACAGGGCTCTCCCTCCAGCAGCCTGGCCAGGAAGGGGAGCCCAGCCCACCCCCTGTAGACGTGTGTCCAGGGCCTGTGACGGGGGCTCTGGCGACTCACGCCAGCCCTTCCGCCAGGTTCACGGCCGCTGCACTCTGCCCGGGCCCTGCCCCTCGTCCCCACCAGTGGACGGCTCCTTCCGGGTGCTGTCTGCTGTGGCGCTTTGGCTGGACACACCTGCCTACTGTTCCCCAGGCAGCAGCAGGCCTGGGCACCTGGGGAGGGCACCCTGGGGGGGCCAGACACTCCTCCTGCCTGGCTGCCCCCTGGGCCCACCCGGCTCACTTACGGGCTGCGCAGGACAGCCCAGCATGGACCAGGGCCCCTCTGGGAAAACTGGGTTTAGCGTAAAAACAGGTTTAGCGTAAAAACGCAGGCCCGTGGGTTTCCCGTGGGGACACGGCGAGTCGAGTGGGCCTCCCCTGCGCTTCGCGCGGCACCTCCTGGGGCGAGCCCAGCGCCGCCAGCCCCCCACCCGCTGGGCGCTGCTCGGGCGTTGTCGCTCGCTTGTCGTTTTCACCCGGCTGTGGTCAGTCTCCCGCAGGGACCGCTGTGTCCCCAGGCCCCACGTGAGGTCCACCTGGCTCCATATCAGGATGTCAAGATGCAGCGTCAATCCAGTGGGTCCTCCCGGCTGATTCCAGAGCTGCCATTCTGGGGCTCAGGAGAGCCAATCCGGGCAGCGGTCCACCCTGTTTGGTGACCACTGGCTGCTTCAGACGCCCTCCCTCCCAGGGGTCACGGCCCTGCAGCTGCCTCACAGCCTCCAGGGCCAGGTCCAGCCTCCTGGTATGGGGGGCATCTGTCCCCTCCCCCAGGGAGAGCTGGCGGGACTTGCCGCTGTGCCCGGGAAAGCATTATTGCCCGTCCGCAGCACTTACTGAGCACCTGCCGTGTGCCGAGGCTGCCCTGCCACGTGCAGGATGCGGGCACGCAGGAAGAGGCCTCAGGAGGCAGGCGTGGGTGCCAGCCCAGCCCCTGCGGACGGCACGGGGTGGGGGACGTCTGGGAGAGCTGGGAGGGCCAGTGAGGGGGTCAGGGCCTCCCCTGCTTCCTGCACGGGGTGGGCGGCCCTGGACAGATGCGCTGTCCTCAGTTGCAGGTGGCCAGAAGCCCCCTGAAGGAGTTCGACAAGGAGAAAGCGTGGAGAGCCGTCGTGGTGCAGATGGCCCAGTGACGGCACACGGGCCGCCAAGGCCCAGGGCCCGCGCCCCGGCGCCCTAACACCCAGACACTAGGTGCCCCGAGCTGCAACCCCAGCCCGCCCCTCCCCTTTCCTGCGGAGGGCCAGGTTCAAGGTGGAGTTTTCTCATTTCTTGTGGTTTAATTTTAAAATAGGCAGATGTTGACTGCTTTGCGCTTATTGAGGGGCGATCAGTTCAGTGCTGCCGAGGTGGCCTGACCATAGGAGCCGCGGCATGGGGCCCCTGGTGAGGAAGGGCCGGGCTGGAGCCGAACCCTGCCGGCGCTGATCGCTGGGCAGCCCCGGGCCCCAGGCTGCCGGCGTGCTCGCCCGCACCGTGCTCGGCCTCCCTGCCCTGCTCTGATTGGCACCTGCTGTGTGCCCAGCCCTGCATCCCTGCATGGACCTTACCCATCTCCACATTTCTATCCTCCAGGCGAGGGGGGGCAGCCTGCCAAGCCTCGATTTCCCCGGAGCAGGCAGAGCTGCCTCCTGCCTGCCCCAGGGCCTGCAGAGCCTTCAGAACTGCAGGCGCGGCAGCCCCCACTCGACCCGCGGTGTCCCCATGTGAAACCCACGGGCCTGCATTTCTGACCTCTTTTCACACTTAACCCCAGTGTTTCCGGAAGGGCCCTCGCCCATGTTGGGCTGTCCACACAGCCGGTAGAGACCCAGCTCAGCGGTGGTCAGCGTGCTCTTGTCCTGAAGCCTCTGTCAGCACAGAAGTCCGCCCTGGCCGCGTGGCAGCTCAGCGTTCTCCGGGTGGGCCACGGCCGTGGCTGAGCCTGTCCACAGCTCTGAAAATGGACAGGCCACATCTCCAAGCCTTGATGGCCTCGTGTCCCCGGCAGGCCGGGCAGACATAGGCCTTGGTCAAGTCCCCAGACAAGCACGGAAGCATTGAGGGGCTGTCTGCACACGAGCAGACCCCACCCACGTGCAGCCCGTGGGGGCCACCTCCCCCTCCCAGCCCCTCAGGCTGCATGAAAGCCACAGGGGGAGCGCAGGTGACACGGCCGTCTCTAGGAGGCCAGAAAGTTGGAGCCTGACAGCTGGAGTGAGTGCCTGGGGCTGCACAGGCACTTCTAACTTCAGAGAGAGCGCAAAACATTCACACAAGTGGGGTCTTAAACTGCATAGTCCTGTCTCTGTCAATTTACATTTTTGTGTGATATAATTTAATACTGCCTGAGCAATAAATGCTAACATGTCATTGTGGCCAGTGGCCTATTTCACTTTGGGTCGCCCTGCATCTCCGTGCCCAGGTTCTGAAACAACTAAGACGTAAACATGGGGAGGGGGGCGCTTTTAATTCATGATTTACCATAGCCCTGAGCCCGTCTGCAGGTGGGCTGGGAGGAGGCTGGGAAGGCACTGGTGCCTCTCCCGGTACCCCCCACCCCCCACAGAATGGGCACAGAGCCTCGCTCTGGGGTTATCTCGGGAAGTTAAATGCAAAATAAAGATGTTTAAACCAAATAAAGATGACATCCAGATTTTGGAAAGTTACCAGGAGGAAGGCACCGATGGGGTAGGTGGATCTTTCCTATTCACCCCTCCCTCTACAAAGATGCTGGACCAGAGAGGCTGGACATCTGGGTAGCTGGGATGCTGGCTGGTGCTCGGAACTCCCGGGCGTCACTTCAAGCCCCACGAGTGACCCAGGGAACACAGCACAGCTCCTGGAAGGCTAGGGTCGTCTTCCCAGGAACACTGGATGTTTAGCGGGGCGGAGCCTGACCTGGATGGTCGGCTTGTCCTGCAAGGGCGGGGTCCCAGGTGTGTGACCTTCGGGTCTTTATGACTTGTGGGGCTCTGATTGCCACGGCGGGTCTGTGTGACCCCGACAGCCGCGCGGGGCGGGATTGCGTGACCCCGGGCAGGGCGCATGCCACTCGTGGGCCCTCCTCCCCGCGGACACCATGCTCCGTGCCTCGCGCCCCGGTCCCCACGCCGGCCGCGGCCGCGTCTCGGACTGCAGCCCCCTTTCGGGGCGCCGCGTAGGTGCCCTCAACCGTGGCCCGTGGGACCCCACACCCCCGACGCCCCCCGCACCGCCGCCTCCGCCGCACCCCCCCAACCCCAGACTTCTCCCTCCACCGCAGCCCTGCCTGCCCCACCCCAGGGTCCCCTCTCCACTCCAGACTCCCCTTCCTCCCCTCCCCCCGTCTGTGCTCCCCGCTTCTAGCCTTCGCTTACACCCCTTCGCAGGGGCCCAGGTGGTAGAAGGGAGCGAGGAGGAGGGGCCCGAGGCCAAGGTGGAAGCAGGGATGGAGCCCGGTGAACCCAACAGGCTGCCATCAGAGCCCGCGTCGTTGGAAGGGGAGCGCAGAGCAGAATCTAGTCAGTATTGTCCTCTGCCCGTCCTCCCGCGTTTTCTGAAAGTGACTGTCAAGTTCAGGCTCTGGATGCCTCTATCTGTTCTATTGATCTGTCTGCCTATCCTAACGTCAAACCACCTGCTTTAATTTCAGTAGCCTCATAGTAAGTCACTATTTCTCTGTTTTTTTCTTCAAGATGTGTGCAGGGTTTCTTGGACTTTTGCATTTTTAGAATCAATTGTTAATTTACCCCTCCCCCAACACACACACATGTGTGTGATTCCACTGAACATATAGATCAGCTGGGAAGAGAATTAATATCTTAGTATTCAGTGTCCTGGTCATGAACGTCAGCTCTTCCAATCTTGTCGGCAAGGTTCCCACTTTTAGTTACAAGTGGGTACCACCTCTTTGTTAGAATCATTCCCAGATAGTCCATGCTTAACACTACATGGATGGCATTTTTGAGTTCCATTTTCTAATTGTCTTAGTGTATACAAATACAGTTGAATTCATTTTCCTGCCTTGGTGGTTGGTGACCTTAGTAAATATACTTACTAATTGTAACAATTAAATGTGTTACATACATAGTCATCACCTGCAGATCTTTTCAGTCTTTATACCTCTTATTTCCTTTTCTTGCATTGTTGCATGGGCTAGCACTTTGAGTATAATGTTGAGTAGCTGTGATATAGTGGACATCTTTTTTTTGTTTCTAAACTCCAGAGGAGAGTGTTCAGTGTTTAACCATGAAGTATGATGTTGCTATAAGTTTTTTTAAAAACAAAACAAAACAAAAAGCCATGATTTACTTTTTCACATTTCTTTAGCTGTCAAATTTTCTTTGGCAAATTTATTCAAAATACTAATTTTCATTTTAGAACTGAATTTATATTTATGTAGCAGAAGTCCTAAATGGATCCAGGTTCACCAGGATACCTTCCTCTAAGCCGCATTGGTTAATATTTCCCCTTTAAAATGTACAAGTAGTATGTTTTAAGTTGTCATTCACAAAAATTATGAGTTAAACACCCATGAATTCTTGCTTCTATAAGTTTGAAAGGAAGTTCCCTTTTATTCCTGGTTTACTGAGAGTTTTAAAATGAACAGTTATTGCATTTTATCATGTTTTCTTCTGCATATTTTTATTTACTGTATCAATGGACTATGTTATGGATTTTCAAACATTAGCAACCTTTGTATTCTTAGAACTCTAATCATAGTTTCGTTCGTGTTCTGACACTGTGACGGGCCATGTTTTCACTGCCGCACAGTTCTCGTCATTTCCACCTGATTTCTCCTTTGAACCATGCTTTATTTTAGAAGTGTGCTACTTAATATTTGGGCTCCATAATCACTGCAGATGGTGACTGCAGCCATGAAATTAAAAGACGCTTGCTCCTTGCAAGAAAAGCCATGACCAACATAGATAGCATATTAAAAAGCAGAGACATTACTTTGCTGACAAAGGTCCGTCTAGTCAAGGCTATGGTTTTTCCATTGGTCATATGTGGATGTGAGAGTTGGACCATAAAGAATGCTGAGCTCTGAAGAACTGATGCTTTTGAACTGTGGTGTTAGAGAAGGCCCTTGAGAGTCCCTTGGACCGCAAGGAGATACAACCAGTTCATCCTAAAGGAAATCAGTCCTGAATAGTCACTGGAAGGACTGACGCTGAAGCAGAAACTCCAATACTTTGGCCACCTGATGTGAAGAGCTGACTCTTTGGAAAAGACCCCGATGTTGGGAAAGATTGAGGGTGGGAGGAGAAGGGGACAACAGAGGATGAGATGGTTGGATGGCATCACAGACTCAATGGACATGAGTTTGAGCAAACTCCAGAAGGTGGTGATGGACAGGGAAGCCTGGCATGCTGTGGTCCATGGGGTCGCACAATTGGACATGACTGAGCAACTGAACTGAACGGAGCTGAATTTTTGAACATTTAGAAAAATTTCTAGTTACCATTTTGTTATTAATTTCTAGTTTCCTTCAGTGGTAAAAAATTTAATTTATATCATTTTGATCCACTGAAGTTTGCGGAGACCCTGTGGCCCAGTATGTGATCTATGTTGGAAAAGGTATGTGAAGAGAAAGTGTGTCCTCAGCTGTGGATTTGATTTGTGGATGTCATTTGGGGCTGATTGATTCAAATCTGCTATATTTTACTGATTCTTTGTTTATGCTTTCCTTTTCTGAGCATGTGCTAAATCACTTCAGTCCTGTCTGAGTCTTTTCACATCCATGGACTGTAGCTCACCAGGCTCCTCGGTCCATGGGACCCTCCAGGCAAGAATACTGGAGTGGGTTGCCACGCCTTCCTCCAGGCGGTCTTCCTGACCCAGGGATGGAACTCATGTCATATGTCTCCTGCGTTGGCAAGTGGGTTTTTTACTCCTAGCGCCACCCAGGCAGCCCTTCCTTTCCTGAGACAAATGGTTCGTTGAAGTATCTCAATATGAATTTGGATTTTCTATGTCTTTTTTTTTTTTGTAATCTCTGTCCACTTGTGTTTTTATACATTTGAAGCTATATTATTAAGTATATACACATTTGGAATTTTATGAAATGTCTATGAGGGCCGCCTGCCACGGGGGGCTGGACACAGGGATCAGACTGGTATCTCCTGAGTGTGAATGTAACTGGTTTGGTCTTGCCTTTGCCTTCATGTCTGTTTTCCTTTTGCAGAATTAAAACAAGGCGTTTCACAAGACTTGGTTTCTTCCCCCAAATTAGACAGATTCAAAATAGCAAAGCAACTAACAGACAAGGCAATCAAGGTAAACGCTCTCTGGGGCTCCATGGGGAGGGGTTCTTTTTAAGAATGTAATTCATTTTGGAGTTTGTAGAGGGAGTCCGTAGCCTGTGACATGCCCCGCCGCTGAGGTGTGCCCCCAGTCCTGGCCCTGGCATGAGGCTTGTGCCAGAGTCATGGTACATTAGACCTTTACTTCTGAACTAAGTGATGCTTCTGAGATGCACAAAGTGCAGACACGTACATGGTAAAAACCTCTCCTACAACCACGCGGCCAATGTGTCCCTGTTGTTTGGCTGCAGATGTGGACACACGTCTCAGACAAGGGACAAACTCCCATATCGCCCTCCCACCCTCGGCCCAGGCCCCCGAGTGACGTGGTGAGGCCGCTTGTGTGTGCGAGGAGTTCTGGTGCTCATATGGGGCCCCGGGACACCCACCACGTCCCCAAGGGAGGGGCCCAGCTTTCACCAGAACGGGAGCCTTCAGGGGGAATAAGGAAGGGCAGGCATTCTTCAGATGGTCCACAGCTTCCACTCTGAGAACGTGACTCTCATCCTTACCGTGCGTCACCTTGCTCAGGCCAGGACGGCGGGGAAGCCCGAGAAACCCAACACACAGTGACGCGTGGAGATGCGCTCAGCCCTAATGTCCTTCTGAAGCACAGCACACAGCTGGGAGCGCGGGGGTTGTAAGCGCACAGCTGGGGCTGCGATGGGCTGGATGCACCTGCAGGGAAGCACAGCCCAGGAGACACTCGAAGTCTGCATCGACCCACCAGCCAAAGCGGAGCACGGCCGCCCTCGTGGGAGCCGCCTCTCGCCCTAGTTATTCCCAAATCCTGGCAACCACGGATGAACCTTTTGTGCTTCCTATCATTGTCCTTTCTGGGGTTTCCTATAAATCGAATTTAACCTTTAGATTTAACTTCAGATTTTCTTTTGAGACCTTAAAACATATAAATGTTTAGGGCTACAAATACCCCTCTAAGTACTGCTTCAGTTGCATTTCAGTAGATTTCGTTTTGTAGTATTTTTGATGAGATACAGTTCAAAGTATTTAACAATTCATACTATTTTCATTGATAGTGGGTTACTTAAAAGTATAGTTCTTAATTTCTAGGCAGGTAGATTATTAAAATCCTAAAAGATGATGCTGTTAAAGTGCTGCATTCATTGCATCAGCAAATTTGGAAAACTCAGCAGTGGCCACAGGACTGGTAAAAGTCAGTTTTCATTCCAGTCCCAAAGAAAGGCAATGCCAAAGAATGTTCAAACTACCAGACAGTTGTGCTCATTTCACATGCTGGCAAGGTTATGCTCAAAATCCTTCCAACTAGGCTTCAGCAATATGTGAACTGAGAACTTCCAGATGTATAAGCTGGGTTTAGAAAAGGTAGAGGAACCAGAGATCAAATTTCCAACATTTGCTGGATCATAGAGAAAGCAAGGAAATTCCAGAAAAACATTTGCTTCTGCTTCATTGACTATGCTAAGCCTGTGACTGTGTGACTCACAGCAAACTGTGAAAAATTCTTAAAGAGAAGGGAATACCAGACCACCTCACCTGCCTCCTGAGAAAACTGTATGCAGGTCAAGAAGCAGAAGTTAGAACTGGACATGAAACAATGGACTGGTTAAAAATTGGGAAAGAGTATGCCAAGGCTGTATGTTGTCGCCTTACTTACTTAACTTACATGCAGAGTACATCATGCAAAATGCCTGACTGGATGAATCACAAGCTGGAATCAAGATTCCTGGGAGAAGCATCAATAGCCTCAGATATGCAGATGACACCACCCTTATGGCAGAAAGCGAAGAGGAACTGAAGAGCCTCTTTATGAAAGTGAAAGAGGAGAGTGAAAAAGTTGGCTGAAACCTCAACATTCAGAAAATGAAGATCATGGCATCCAGTTCCATCACTTCATGGCAAATAGATGGGGAAACAATGGAAACAGTGAGACTATTTTCTTGGGCTCCAATATCAGTGCAGATGGTGACTGCAGCCATGAAATGAAAAGACACTTGCTCCTTGGAAGGAAAGCTATGACAAACCTAGACAGTATTTTAAAAAGCAGAGACATTACTTTGCCGACAAAGGTCCGTCTAGTCAAAGCTATGGTTTTTCCGGTACTCATGTACAGATGTGAGAGTTGGACCATAAAGAAGGCTGAGTGCCAAAGAATTGATGCTTTAGAAGAAGACTTGGACAGCATGGAGATCAAACCAGTCAATCCTAAAGGAAATCAGTCCTGAATATTTATTGGAAAGACTGATGCTGAAGATGAAACTCCTTGGCTGATGCTGAAGATGAATACTTCGGCCACCTGATGTGAAGAACTGACTCATTGGAAAAGACCCTGATGCTGGGAACGATTGAAGGCAAAAGAAGAAGGGGACAACAGAGGATGAGATAATTAGATAACATCACTGACTCAATGGACATGAATTTGAGCAAGCTCTGGGAGATAGTGGCGGACAGAGGAGCCTGGCGTGCTGCAGTCCTTGGGGTCGCAAAGAGTCGGACACAGCTAAGCAGTCAACTGGACAACAGTAAAAAGGGTTGTTTCTGGTTATTTTGTAACTGATTGCTGGCTTGATTAACTGTGGTTGAGAATGTAATTGGTATAATATATTTCCGTTGAAATGTATTCAGACCTGCTTTCTGCCTAGCATTTTGTTAATTTATATAGATGTTGATGTAGAGTGCTCTATTCACAGTCATCAGGGAAGAGGTTTTCATTTGAGTTCTTCAAGTCCTCCAGACCTGAGGGGTTTGTTTCTGTTTTTCAGGTGTTTTTGTCCCTGTGGTCTTTAATTCACTGAGAGTGGCGTGGTAAATCTCCTGGTGTAATTGTGGACTTGTCTACTTTGTATTGCTCCCAGGTTTTGCTGTGTGTAATTTATAGCTCCGATAACGGGTGCAGACAAGTGTGTTCTGACAAGCTGAATGTCTGCTTCGCATTGTACGAAGCTTTTCTTTACTTTGGTGATGTATATTCGTCGCAAAGGTTATTCTGTCTCATACTTGGATCATTTTATTCTCTACCTATCTGTAGGCGTGTGCTTTTTATTTTCTCTTGTGGACAGCATAGATTGAGATAAGAAAAAGATGTAGTCTGGCACTTCTTACCTTTTAACTGGAGCATTTTGTGTATTCGTCCATAATTAAACTGCTGGCGTACTCCCGTGGGCTTTCACTCCTTTGGTTTCTGCTCGTTTTTGCTCTCCCTTCATGCCTCCTTGTGGACTGATTTCTTTTAAAATCCCGTTTTCCCTCTTGTGTTAGAAGTCTGGAACCTGTTGTCCTTTTGTAGTCCCCGTATGTTTTGTCCTCTGTTGGCTTCTTACAGTTAAGCCAGTTTTCTGAAGTCGCTCAGTCTGACCCTGGATCAGCAGAGAACCTGGGGGTGTGGGCAGGAGGTCTTGCTGGAGCTGTGGGCCCTGACCTGCCATTGTCACCCCCCGCCCCTCCTCACCGCGGCCCCTCGCCCTGCGGTGGGCGAGGCCAGGCCCGGGGCCCATGATCTGAGCAGAAGGAGGCCCGGCCGTCCCCCGAGGGGGCTGGAACTGGGCTGCCAGCATCTGGCCACAGGCCCACACCTTGGCAGGTGGTCCTGGCCCTCCCTCCGCTGCTGTGTGAGACCACCACGGCCTTAGCTGCTTAGACACAGCCCTGGGCTATCTCCCAGCTCCTGTGGGTCAGGGTGCAGGCCGGGCCCTCTGCTCCGCGTCTGTCGAGGCACTAAGCCAGGGGGTCGCCTCTGGAGGCCCATGGGGGGAGGTCCCTCCTCAGAGCTCTGTGGGCTTGTCGGCAGGATCGATTTCCCTGAGGCTGTAGAATGTGTGGCGCCGTCTTCAGAGCCAGCAGCGGGCAGAGACAGTCCCTGCCCGTCTTGGTTTCTGACCCTCTTCTCAGGGGCACACCTGATTAGGCCAGGCCCACCCAGGGCCCCCTGCCTTTCAGAGTCTAGTCAGGGACCCCATGAGTCTGAGCTGCCTCCCCTCCTGCCCCATCCTGCTCTCACAAGCTCACGAGGCCCTAAGCTCACTGCTGCCCACGCCCCTGCTCCCTGCTGCTGCCCAGGCCATGTGTCCACGTGTGCCTCGGCAGCGTGGGCCCCGGGCCCCACATGGCCGTGCCTGTCTTCGCTCGACTGTCTGCTGGGAAGCAAAGGGTTGTCTGCCTCTGCCCTCTGCCTGGCCCCGGGCAACTGGCTCATCCCCACAGTAGTGGGCAGGGTCCTGGTCGCTGGTGCTGGCCCCAGGTGGGGGCGCCGCCCCTCTGGCCCCTCCCGGGCATCTGAGTGCCCCCCCACCCCTCCTCAAACCTCAAGCACCTCCCGCTCCCCAGATGCGCGGGCCGGTCACCTTTGTACGGGAAAGTAGCGCACAGGTCCCGGGCCACCCCCGAGGCCCGCCCTTCCGACCTCGACCTGCCCCGAGCTGAGGTCTGAGCCTCCAGAAGCCCCTAGGTCCTGGCTGTGCCTCCTCTGGCTGAGTGTGGGCGAGGCCTGTGCCTGCAAAGCCCCCATGCCCGGGGCCGTGGACACACAGCAGAGGTGGGCCTGCCCGGGGGCTGCCTGACTCAGAGTGCGACGGAGCGCTTCCCGCCGGGACCATCCCTCACCCTGACTGCAGACTGTCTTACAGAGACAGGGTTAACTTATTTTCCGTTCTTTAATTTCAAATACACTTGCAATTTGAGGAAAAGAAGATCTTCTCCATCTACGGACACTACCCAGTGATCCGGACCACCCTGAGGAGGAAGGGCTGGGTGGAAAAGAAATTCCACTTTCTGACCAAGTTCGTGCCGAGCGTCGACGGCGACGGGGAAGGGGTGCCGGGTAGAGTATCGGCGTGTGTGTTCTGCGTGAAACGCGTGTGCCTGTCATGGAGACCCAGAGTGTGTGGGTTCCGCGCGGAGCAGCGGGCCCTGCACTGTGGCCTCCCGGGGGAGGGGCTCGCCGCTCGGCCCCGCCCCAGGCGTCCAGGCGTCAACGAGCCCCTTCAAGCCCTGGTTCCGGTCACTTCCAGGTGTGTCCCCATCCGCGTCCAGGCGTCCCTGTGCCTGGACGTCGCCCACTGTCGTCGGCGGCCGGGCCCAGAAGTCCCCCTTCGGGGCCCAGCTCCCTCCCAGCCCCTGCTTGGCCCCCTGCCGTGCTTCCTCCGCTGCCCCTGCCCACCTGCCCCAGGCCCTGACCCCAGCCGGGCCTGCTCCCCTCCCCACGGAGTCTGCGCCCTCTCGGCTCCAGGGTCTCCACTCGGCCTGCAGGCAGTTGTTGGACCCCACTCATTCCGCAGTTCATGGCCCAGGTCGGTTCAGTGGACACTTGGGGGGGCACCACGGCCCAAGCCTGACTTAGCCGTGCTCCTCATGGGACCTGCTCCTCATGGGGCACTGCTCTGCCCTGGGCCCAGTGGTGGGCCTGGCTGTGGTCAATGACTTGCTGATTTCTTGTATGTTGTGTTTGCAGACAACAAACATGCTGAAGGCAAAGAGAATCAAGATGTGGCTTCAGAGAAAGCAGACGACATCCACGATGTGATGGTAGGTTCCCGTGGGCTCCTGGGGCACCTCGGCCAGACATTTACTTCCTCCTCTGTGCTGCACCCTGGGAGGTGAGGGCGGCAGCAAAGCCACAGTCACACCCAGCTTTGAGGATGTCCCTTCATCCATGTGCCATGTGCGTCCACCTGGGCCTCTCCGTGGGCCCCACGTCCGCACGTCCACCTGGGCCTCCCCGTGGGCCCCGCATCCATGCTCCCGTGTGAGCAGATGAGCTGAGCCTGCCGTCTGTGGAGACCCTGTGGGGCGGGGTTGCACAGCCCCCAGGCAGTGGTGGTGGAGGTGCTGTCTGCTGCACGTGGCCCACCCCGGCTGGAGCGAGCCCCCCAGGGCTGGGCTCCCAGGCCTCGATGCTGGCTGGGCGGCAGGTCAGCCGTCACGGGCTGGGCAGAGCTGGCGAGGACAGGGAGGCAGTTGCATGGGGTTGTGGGAGGCTGCCAGCAGGTAACGGAGGGTCGCTGAGACTCAAGGGGAGAAAAGAAAGTTAAAACCAGGCCAGAAAGCATCCACTGTGAGGAGAATGGGATGCACTGACCACACTGACGTGCAGAGCTCCTGGCCCCCGGAAGACCCTGTGAAGAGAACAAACACCAGCTACTTGGGGAGAAATTTGCAGGGCCCAAGACTGCACAGATCTGCTCAGAGTACGCGAAGCGCCTGCACACCCAAAGAGGATGTTGATCAAATGGAAAATGGGCAAGGGCCTGACAGGCCAGTGAGCGCATCATGCCTATTCCCGGTGCGGATCTCTTTCTGCAAAAGTCCACCATGAGGCTGGGGAGGCGCCGTGGGTCGGGGGTGCGGGTAGTCTGGGGGGCAGGGGTGTTAGTACTGGACTGGAGGCCGGGCCTCCCCTCGGGCGCCTGGGTGGCCCCCAAGCGCTCTCTATACATCCGTCTACGACGCTTCATCACGCCCTGTAACAGATGAGACTTACTTGGGAAAGTGGCTACAGGAACTGCACACATCACTCTGAGAGCAGGAGGAAGGACCCAGGCCTTGAGCCCGAGTCCAGGGACCCGGGTCGGGTGAGCTTGGGAAGTGGCGTTGGCAGCCTGAGTCCAGCAGCCCCCTCTTCCCTGTGGCCCCCTGCCCGCCCCCGGCAGCAGCGCTGTGTGATGGTATGCGGGAGGAGCCGTCCTGCCGGACCACGGGGCTCAAGGGGGCTGGCTCGAGCCACGGGCATCAGGTGGTCCTAACATGCTGTCTGCGGGCGTGACCCAGAGGGTCTTCTCCAAGGTGTCTGGGTCATCTTCAGGGGCAGGATCATGGAGAATCTTTTCCCTTCCTCATATCTCTTTATTTGGTTAGAATTTTTGACCAAGCACAAGAGCACAGACGCCAAGGACTCCCAGTCTTGCTTCAGCTGCGGTCCTGGGCCCCTGCACTCTGAAGGCTCGGGGAGGCAGAGGAGCCCGCGTCCTGGCAGCCGGGGAGGGGGCTCTCCTGGGGCTGCAGCCAGCGTGTGCCCCTGCCGCCCGGAGTCCAAGCCCCCCACCCCCTCGCATGGGAAGCCCTGTGTGGTCACAGCAGCTCCCACACGGGCCAGCGGAAGGCCCTCAAGGAACGTGCGAGGCTGCCGTCAGGATGGGAAACCACACGCTCTTCTTAGCCTAAACCCCGAACCCTTCACCCTGGGCCTGCCCCACCCTTAGAGACGTGAGCCTCAGATGCTGGGTACTGAGAAAGGTTTCTTCTTGCCAGTCCAGGTTGGTAAAAAATGAAACGCCCTACTTCCTCTGGACAATCAAAAGGGACATCGTCGACTATCACAGCCTGAGCTGTGACCAGGTGCTGAACCACTACGGGAAGACCGCGTCCTTCACCACCAAGGTGAGTGGGGGCCTGGGCAGGCGGGCAGGACCCTGCCTCCTGAAATGCCAGCGCCTCTGGAGCTGCACAGCCCCATGGGGCGCCGGTCACCTCCGCTCTCCTCCCAGGACTGGAGGCTCCTGGCCTGGCCAGAGGCTGCCTGGCATCAGTGTCCACAGACGCTTGGCACTGCTCCCCACAAACCTCCCCAGAGCCTCTGCGCCTCCCACTGTGTCCCTGGGTGGGCCCAAGGCCACAGAATCACTGTCCTCTGGGCTTCAGGGCAAGCCCCAGACAGGGCCAGTGACTGCTCCCCCCACAGCCTGGCCTGGGCCCTGGTCCCTGGAGTGGCTCTGGGTCAGTGGGGTGGCAGGGGGGGGCCACCCTCACCTGTGCTGTGACTTCCAGATGTTGGGAGCACTGCCACGCCACCCACTTCTCACCCTCACCCCCTTTCAGCCACCAGCCACCCCAGGCAGCCATTCCCCGCTCACCCTGAAGGCTGAGGTTGGGGTGGGGCCAGCCGGGACAGGCCTGCACATGCCCCTTGGCAGAAGGGGTTTCCCAGGCAGCAGGGGGACCGTCCCCTCAACAGTCAGAGATGACGCGGGGGACGGGACGAGGCTCCTGGCTGCCCGCGGGGCGACCCCCAGACGACCTCGCCAGGCCTCAGGCCAGTGGTGTGCTTCTGGGCTGGGGGCTGCCTGCGGGGGTGCAGTGGGCCCCGCTCCCTGCAGAGACCTCAGGCGGCAGATGGCCTCATGACTTCGGGGCGGGGGCCCATTTCCCCAGATGGGCTGCTGGGCTGGCCTCCCTAACCACGAGTGTGGCGTCAGGCGGGCGCACTGGGGGAGGGGGCCGCACTGTAGACCAGGGCGCTCCCTTCTCTGCCCTTCCCGGCCTGAGGCTGAGCATGCAGGGAACGGGGGGCAGACGCAGCACCCTCTGCCCTGGGCGCCCCCAGATGGCCCTGTTCACCCTCGGGCCTGCCACAGCCGCCGCTGACAACAGGGTGAGCCCGAGGCCCTGGCCAGCTCGCCGGGTGACCTGGATGTTTGGCCAGTTGGCTGGGGGGTGGAGGGGCCAGGGGGCCAGGGAGGGTCTGCTCCCCGAAGTGCCCGCTGAAGCTGGCGCCACCTGGCCAGGCCCCCGGGCTCTCAGACTGGCCGAGTGGGCCTGGCGCAGCCTGCGGGCCTGACGTGCTGCTGTCTCCGGAGATCGGGCTGTGTGTGAGCATGCGGAGCCTGCCGTGGTACGTCCAGGCCAACCCCGACACCTTCTTCCCGCGCTGCTACAGCCTCTGCACGGAGGGTGAGAAGCAGGAGTTCCTGGGTGAGTGGGGCCCGGAGGCCCAGGGCCTCTCTGCCGCCTGGCCCCCCGCCCGCAGGACGGGCCTCAGGGCCGGAGGTGGGGGGCTGGTTCTGTCCCAGCCAGCCCTCGGTGCTGTCTCTGGGCTGGGGACAAAGGCCGCTTCCTGGTTGGACCTGTCCAGGGGCACGGGAGAGAGAAGGACAGGACGGGGCAGGTGGGGCAGGCAGGGCAGGGCAGGCCGGGGGTCGCGCGGGGGTGCCCATGTCTCCTGAGCACCCATCTATGGGCCGCGGAGATACGGCCGCAGTCCAGCACACTGCCCTGCCCCCGGACCCCAGGCTGGTGCCCCAGGAGCGAGTGGCTGGATGCAGGCCAGGCAGGGTCAGTGGGGGACTGTGGGTGAGGCCTTGAGAGAGCGGGTCTGGGCGGAGACCAAGGAGGGGGGCGAGGGCGGCAGGCCGGGGGCTCCAGGTTGGGAGCAGGCAGGGCGCCCACAGGCCTTGGGCTCAGGGCTATCCGTGCATCAAGACTTCAGGACAGGAAGGAGTGGAGGGGCGGCGAGGGGCGCTCCCCTTCTGGGTGTCTCCAGGGTGGCCGGAGCTGCTGGGGGGCCTCCCCTGAGGTGTGGAAGGAGCAGGTTTGCATGAGAAAGTGCTGGGATATCTTACAGACCTCTGGGTGGTCTGTGCTCAGAAGCAGAGGTTTTGCGGCGAGCTCATCAGGAGCGCTGTTGGAGGCGTTAGTCTGGAGTCGGGGTGGGGAACAGGCCCGCCTCCCGGCCGCGGCTGTCCCCGAATGGTGACCGGCGCCCAGAGCCAGCCCTGGGCTGAGCCAGGGCTCAGCCACCTTCGTGCTGAGTGGGTGCCGCAGGACCCCCGGCCACCTGCACTCAGAGCTGTGGACCCCGCTTCCAGGGAGGCCCCTCCGGTGAGGGGGAGAGTGCCGCTGCTGTCCGCAGAGGGCGCTTCTGGAAGGATCCATCTGTGCAGGGCTGAGGACGCTGGGCAGGCAGAGGGGGTGAGGGTGCCTCCGGACCACAGCCCGGGTGGCGCAGGAGAGGGGGTGCCCGGTTCTGCCTCTGGGTCTATGGGCAGGTGGATGCGTGGCCGCGGGGGACGTCCCGGCTGTGAGTCCGGCCTGCAGAGGCGGGAGGAGGTAGGAACGGACGGGGTGGGCAAGGGGGCAGTGGGGAGCGCCTGGCTCCCCGGAGGGCCGCGAGGCAGGAGCAAGGCCCCGCACACCCTGGCAGGGGCAGAACGTCGGGGCTGAGCGTGGCTGGCGCTGGCCGAGGGCCCGGCCCCGGCGCAGGCAGAGGGGGCGAGGCCTTGTGTCCTTGCAGACGACTTCCGGCGCACGGTGGCCTCCAGCATCCTGAAGTGGGTGGTCAGCCAGCAGAGCAGCAGGAGCAAGCCGAGGAGCAGGCGGGACGAGGCCCGCGAGAGCGCCGCCAGCCGCAGGAAAGGTGTGCGCGCGGCGCGGCGGAGGGGCCGGCCGAGGGGCCGGCGGAGGGGCCGTGGGCGGGGCTCCCGGGGCGGGGCTGCGGCTCTGCCCCGCCCCCAGGCTCCTCCAGCAGGATCCGACGCGAATGGCACTCCTGGGTCATGTCGGAGATGTGGCCCACTGTGGGATTAGGCCTACAAAACTCAAAAAGTCTTTCTTGGTTGTTATTCACTTGAATAGAACAGTTTTAGGTTCACAGCAAGATGGGAGCAGATGGTACAGAGATGTCCCATGTACTCTCTGCCCCTGCCGCCCCCACTATCAACATCCCCCCAGACAGTACATTCGTTATAACTGATGAACCCACACTGACACGTCATCATCAGAGTCCACAGTCTACGCCAGGGCTTCCTCTTGGTTTGGACAAAGGTACTATGACATGTATCCACCAATATGGCATTGTTCAGAGCAGTTTCACTGCCCTAAAAATCTGCTCAGTGGTAAAGAATCTGCCTGCCAACGCAGGAGACGTGGGTTCCATGCCTGGGTCGGGAAGATCCTCTGGAGAAGGAAATGGTACCCCACTCCAGTATTCTTGCCTGGGAAAGCCCATGGGCAGAGAGGCCTGGTGCACAACAGTCCACAGGGTTGCAAAGAGTTGGACACGAATAAGCAACTAAACAACAATAAAAGTCCTCCGCGGTCAGCCAGTTCATTCCTTCTTCACCCCTGAAACCTGATTCTTTTATTGTTGCCACAGCTCTGCATTTTCCAAAATGTCATGGAGTTGGAATCATAAACTACATGTGATTCAATCCTCTCTCACTTACTAACATGCGTTTAAGGTTCCTCCGCATCTTTTCATGACCCAGGAGCTCATTTCTCTTTAGCACTGAGTAACATTCCCCAGTCTGGATGGACACTTTGTTCATCGAGTCATCTGATGACTTGGGCATCCAAGGGCACCTGGGTTGCTTCTGAGTCTTGGCAGTTGGGATTAAATCTGCATGGAGAGTTTTGAGCAGCCATAAGTTTTCAACTCACTTGGTAAATACCAAGGACCATGACTGCAAGAGTGTGTGTTTTTCATTTGGTGAGAAACTGCCAAACTGTGCTCCAAAGTGGTCGCTGCCCCATTTTGCGTTCCCCCCTGCAACGATGAGAGTTCTTGTCCATGTCCTCACCAGCATCTGGTGATGTCACTGTTCTGCATCGTGACCATTCTGATAGGTGTGTAGTGGTGTCTAATTGTTTTAATTTGCATTCCTCTGACAACATGGTGAACGTTTTTCAATATACTTCTTTATCATCTGTATATATTCTTTGGTGAGAAACTTTTTCAGCTTCCCTCCATTTTTAAATTGGGGTATTTCTTTTTCACTGAGGACCAAGTATGTGCTCAGAAGCAGAGGTTTTGTGACAAGCTCATCAGAAGTGTGGTTTCTTTTCCATCGAGGGGCTGAGAGTCCATTTGGAGGGGGGAGGGGCAGAGAGGGGTGGGCACAGCACAGTGGGAGGGCAGCTTCGAGAGGGGAAAGGTTACCTGCCCCGACCCAGGTGTGGCATCCAGGGTTACCACCCAGAGATGTGGGACCCCTCACCATAAGGCCTTGAGGTGCAGACAGGTGGGGTGGCACTCCATGGGGCGGTGACCCGGGCTCCATGGGCGTGGGCGGCGGCCCGGGTTCCCTGGGGGCAGGTGGTGGCCCGGGCTCCGCAGGGTGGGTGGTGGCCTGGGTTCCACGGAGACAGGAGGAGGTCAAGGCTCCCCGTGCCTTGCTTGGGTTTCAGTTCCTGAGGGAGCAGGATCGAGGCTCACGGGCCTGTCAGGGCAGCTCGTGGACGTCGCGTGCAAGGTGTGCAAGGCCTACCTGGGGCGTCTGGAGCACGAGGACATCGACCTCACCGAGGACGCCGCCAGGGCCCTCACGGAGGACGAGTGGAGTGACCTGACCCAGCAGTACTACGCGCTCATCCAGTGAGACACCCGTTGGCGGGCTCCGGGGCGATGTCAGAGTCGCCCAGAGGACACTGGGCTGCCCTCAGGGGTGGTGTGGAGAGCTGTGTCCTCTGGGACGTCTGGGCTGCTTTTCTGGGTGTTGGGGTGTGCAGGCCCCAGTGGACTGATAAAATGACGCCCCAGGGGTGCCTGTGGGCAGTGTTGCCTCCCGCACCTTCCACACCCTTCATGTCCTTGGCGTCGCTCAGGCCTGCAGCAGCGTGGAGGCCCCTTCACGGCCAGGCTGCCCGCTCAGCTTGGGGGGTCGGGACTAGTCAGCAGTTGTTAGGCCCAGGCCTCCTGACCTCGACGACTTCCAATTGCCGCTCAATACCCAGGGACCCACTGCTCAGGGGCGCAAGCTGTTTTAATGGCCAACAGAGGGGAGCTGGGGCAGAGGCAGGCCAGCACCCTTGGGGAACGGCTGCTGGCCAAGAGAACAAGGCAGGAAGCAACACCCTCATTCTGGAGGGTCTGCTTGCAGCCCGCACGCACCGTCCTGGGTCATTTCTGTTGCTGTAGTCCTCCTTTCCTTCTCTTGGATCAAGTATTTTCTTTCTCTTCTTTTCTACTGGCTATAAATACAGTACGGGGCATGCCATGTGCTAATGGTATTTGTCCAGCTGGGTGGAAGTGTGCGAGGCCACGGCTTCTTCGATTCCCAGCACCCCCACCATGTGGCTGTGGAACTGCATACCCACAGCGTCATGCAGACGTGACTTCTGCCCAACACAAGACCTGTGAGATTTACCTGCTGCGTAGTTGGTGCCGAGTCCCGTCCTGGCCACTGACTGCAGGGTGCTCACTCCCGCCACGGAGGGGCAGTCGGATGCCAGTTACCGCCAGGCTTAGACGGTTTCCAGACTGGTGCTGCAGCTCCACGGGCCAGCGGCAGCGCGTGTGCACGCGCCCACCCCACGGCGTGGACGGACGCCGTCACGCTCTGTGGGCTCCCTTCTGGGCATCCCCTCGTGCTCTCAGGCTGCGCTTCTCTGATGCCTGGTGAGCCCGGGTTCATGTGCTTGTCGGCCATTCGCATATCTTTTCTCATGAAGTGCTTCTTGAAATCTTTTGATTGTTAAAGAGAAGGAAGTGAGTGCTCTGTTTATAAAACTGATTTGTTGCCTTTGTTGAAGATATGTACTAAGTGTACCTGTTCCTAATGTGTGACGTGTCTTTTAACCTCTTAATGGTATTTTTTGACGAGGCCCAGTGTTGATTTTTCCCTGTGATGGTAATAAGGCCTTTAGAGTCCTGGTTAAGGAAACAGTGTCTACTCAGGATCATGAAGATGCTCCTTTGCGATTTCTTCTGAGCTTTGGGCTTCCGTGGTGGCTTAGATCATAAAGAATCTGTCTGCAGTGCAGGAGACCCAGGTTTGATCCCTGAGTAGGGTGGATCCCCTGGAGAAGAGAATGGCTGTCCACTCCATTATTCTTGCCTGGAGAATTCCATGGACAGAGGAGCCTGGCAGGCTACAGTTGAGGGGGTTGCAAAGACCTGGACACTACTGAGCGACTAACAATTGGTTCAGTTCAGTTCAGTTGCTCAGTCGTGTCCGACTCTTTCCGACCCCATGGACTGTAGCCCGCCAGGCCTCCCTGTCCATCACCAACTCCTGGAGTTTACGCAAACTCATGTCCATTGAGTCAGTGATGCCATCCAACCATCTCATCCTCCGTCATCCCCTTCTCCTCCTGCCTTCAATCTTTCCCAGCATCAGGGTCTTTTCCAATGAGTCTGTTCTTCGAATCAGGTGGCCAAAGTTTTGGAGCTTCAGCTTCAGCATCAGTCCTTCCAGTGAATATTCAAGACTGATCTCCTTTAGGATGGACTGGTTGGATCTCCTTGCACTCCAAGAGACTCTCAAGAGTCTTCTTCAACACCACAGTTCAAAAGCATCAATTCTGCGGTGCTCATCTTTCTTTATAGTCCAATTCTCACATCCATACATGACTACTGGAAAAACCATAGCCTTGAATAGATGGACCTTTGTTGTCACAGTAACGTCTCTGCTTTTTAATATGCTGTCTAGGTTGGTCATAGCTTTTCTTCCAAGGAGCAAGCGTCTTTTAACTTCATGGCTGCACTCACCATCTGCAGTGAATTTGGAGCCCCCCCAAAATAAAGTCTGTCACTGTTCCCATTGTTTCCCCATCTATTTGCCATGAAGTGATGGGACCAGATGCCATGATCTTAGTTTTCTGAATGTTGAGTTTTAAGCCAACTTTTTCACTTTCCTCTTTCACTTTCATTAAAAGGCTCTTTAGTTCTTCGCTTACTGCCATAAAGGTGGTGTCATCTGCATATCTGAGGTTATTGAGATTTCTCCTGGCAATCTTGATTCCAGATTGTGCTTCATCCAGCCCGGCGTTTCTCATGATGTACTCTGCCTATAAGTTAAATAAGCAGGGTGACAATATACAGCCTTGAGATACTCCTTTCACAATTTAGAACCAGTCTGTTGCTCCATGTCCAGTTCTAACTGTTGCTTCTTGACCGGCATACAGATTTCTCAAGAGGCAGGTCAGGTGGTCTGGTATTCCCATCTCTTGAAGAATTTTCCACAGTTTGTTGTGATCCACACAGTCGGAGGCTTTGGCAGAGTCAACAATACATGCTTTATTGTTTTTCCTTTCACTTTTAGCTTTTTGTGATTAATTTTAATTTCTGTGTTAGGTAAGAGAGAAGCATCAAGGTTCTTTTTTGTATAGAATAGACATGGATTTTGCTGGAACTTGCTTTTGACCCTGACTAGCCCTGATCTGTTTTGGTGACTGTCTCATGCACACTTGAATACAATCTGTATCTGCATTGCTAGGTGGTGTGTTCTTAAAAAATATCAGCGAAGTCGGGTTAGTTATTCAAACCTAAACTCTTGCCGATTATTTTACCTGCTTGTTCTCTGAGTTACTGTGAGAGCTGAGTTAAAATCTCTGATCTTATTTGAGATATTAATAGACATAAAGAGGATATTTCGCAATAAGGTGATTCCATTAAAGGGATCAACACAATCTGGACTGGAATGTAGTGAGTACCATGACAGAATATGGAAAACAAATAATCACAGAATTAAAAAGAAAATAGAAATGAAACTGATTTTTGTATGTTGACTTCATATTCTGCTACTTTGCTGAATTTATTGATTAGCTGTTCAATTTTGGAGAAAGTTTGCGAAGGACTGGTGGGAACTCTCCCTTAGACGCTTGGTTGGTTTCCCCAGTGAAGCCTCCGTGTCCAGAGCGTTTCTTGTTGGGCTTTGATCACGGATTCACCCCCTTAGTGAGTATGTGTGCTCAGTCGCTCAGCCGTGTCCGGCTCTCTGCGACCCCGTGGACTGTGGCCACCAGCCTCCTCTGTCCATGGGATTCTCCAGGCAAGAACACTGGGGTGGGTTGCCATGGTCTTCTCCAGGAGATCCTCCTGACCCAGGGATTGAACCCACATCTCTTATGTCTCCTGCATTTGCAGGTGGGTCATTTACCACTGGGCTTCCCTTGTGGCTCAGCTGGTGAAGAATGCAGCTGCAATGTGGGAGACTGGGTTTGATCCCTGGGTTGGAAAGGCTACCCACTTCAGTATTCTGGCCTGGAGAATTCCATGGACTGTATAGCGTTGCAAAGAGTCGGACACGACTGAGCGACTTTCACTTTTGCTTAATTTACTCCTAGCACCACCTGGGAAGCCCTTGGTGTGTATAGGTCTATTCATGTTTTCTATGTCCGCATGATTTAGTTTAGGCAGGTTCGGTGTTTCTCAAAACTTGTGTAATTCATCTAGTTTATCCAGTTTGTTCATGTGCAACTGTCCATAATACTCTCATAATCTTTTTTACTTTTGTAAAGTCAGTAGTAATGTCCCCAGTATAGTTTTTGACTTTAGTAATTTGAGTTTTCTCTGTTTTTCTCTTAGTCCAACTAGCTAAAAGTTCACCTACTTTGTTGATCTAGCCAACTTTTCTTTTTATTCATTTTCTCTATTTTTCTATTTTGGTTAATTCTGCTCTAGTCTTTATTATTTTTTTCCTTTTGTTAGCTTTGCATTTAGTTTTTTTTTCTTTCTAGTTTCTTAAATTGTAAAATTAGATATATTGATTTGAGATTTTTCTCATTTTTTAATGTAAGTGTTAGTTGCTCAGTTGTGTCCGACTCTTTGTGACCCCATGGACTGTAGCCCGCCAGGCTCCTCTCTCCATAGAATTCTCCAGGCAAGAATACTGGAGTGGGTTGCCATTCCCTTTTCCATTTTAATGTAAGCCTTATAGCTATATATTTTCCCCTTGATACTGTTTTTGCTGCACCCCATAAGTTTTGGGCACCAGGGAAGCCCAAAACTAATCTACAGACTCGTTGTAACCCCAATCAAAATCTATGCAGGGCTTCCCCTGCCCCAGGGGGAAAGGATAGGAGGAGCTGACAACTGAATCTGAAATTTATTTGGAAATACCCTGCCGGCTCAGTGGTAAAGGACCTCCCTGCCAATGCAGGAGACGCAGGTTCGATCCCTGGGTTGGGAAGATCCCCATGGAGTAAGAAGTGGCAACGCACTCCAGTGTTCTTGCCTGGAAAATCCCATGGACAGAGAAGCCTGGCGGGCTACAGTCCATGGGGTCACAGAGAGCCAGACACGACTGAGCAACTGAACAGCAACAGCAGTAAACGATTCACAGAAAAACAAAACTATTTTGATCAAGAAAAACAAATTTAGAGGACTTATGTCCCATATGTGAAAAGCAGCTGTAAATCTACAAGTAAGACAGTGTGGTGCTGGGATGAGGTAGGTGAATAGGCTGATGTAACCGGTTAGTCCCGACATAGCCGCTCACACATTTGAGCACTTATGTTCCAGGTGCCGCTGGAGTTTAGTGAGCAAGGGTCAGTCTCTCCTTTAAATGGTGTCTGAGCAATTAGCATCTTATGAAAAGATAGAGTGCCTTGAATTATGCCTCAAAATATACACAATTAATGTGAGATGTGGCATGTAAAAGTTTAAAAAATTTGCAAAACATTGGAGTATATCTTCATGATTATAAAGAAGGCAAAGATTTCTCAAGTAGTTCACTAAAAGGACTAACCATAATTTAAAAATTGATAAATTGTACTTTATTGACATTAAGAACTCTGTTTATCAAAAAACACCAACACCACAAAGAGAATGGAAAGACAAGCCATAAACGTGAGGAGCATATTTACATACAACACACAACACATATTTAGATACGACATACAACACACGTGTCCACAGAGGCCTCGGATCTAGGGTATGGAAGGAATGTTCGTGCAGAGACGTCACTTTGCCGACAAAGGTCCATCTAGTCAAGGCTATGGTTTTTCCAAAATAGTCATGTATGGATGTGAGAGTTGGACCATCAAGAAGCTTGAGCCCCGAAGAATTGATGCTTTCAAATTGTGGTGCTGGGGAAGACTCTTGAGAGTCCCTTGGACAGCAAGGAGATCAAACCAGTCCATCCTAAAGGAAATCAACCCTGAGCATTCATTGGAAAGACTGATGCTGAAGCTGAAGCTTCAATACTTTGGCCACCTGATGGAAAAAGTTGACTCACTGGAAAAGCCCCTGATGCTGGGAAAGATTGAGAGCAGGAGGGGAAGGGGTGACAGAGGATGAGATGGTTGGATGGCATCACTAATTCAATGGACATGAGTTTGAGCAGATAGTAAAGGACAGGGAAGCCTGGCGTGCTGCAGTCCATGGGGTCACAAGCAGTTGGACACGACTGAGTGACTGAATAACAACAACAAAGAATACCTTGGACACGACTGAGTGACTGAATAACAACAACAAAGAATACCCGTAAATCAATAAAAAACAGTCTCTGGACATGTCACAGAAAAAGACACCAAATGGTCAACCAGCACACGAGGAGACAGCATCGCTGAATTCATGGTCAGGAGATGCCGCTATACACCAGCCAGAATGGCTGAAAGTTCAGCCAAGATGCGCAGTGCCTAGAGCCTTAATCCACTGTGGGATGGGGAGTGGGGAGTAGAAACCAGTGCAGCCTGTCTAGAAAAGCCTTGGGCGTTTCTTATCCATTTAGGCACCTACATGCCCTGTGACACAGCTCTGCTGTGCTTGGGCATTTGTCTAAAGGGAAATGAAAACACATCTTTGGAGAGACTTCATTCATAATCTAGAAACCACCAGTTTAGTTTAGTTCAGTCGCTCAGTCATGTCCAACTCTCTGCGACCCCATGGACCTCAGCACGCCAGGCTTCCCTGTCCGTCATCAACTCCCGAAGCTTGCTCAAACTCACATCCATCAAGTCGGTGATGCCATCCAACCGTCTCATCCTCTGTCCTCCCCTTCTCCACCTGCCTTCAATGTTTCCCAGCATCAGGGTCTTTTCCAGTGAGTCGACTCTTTCCATCAGGTGGCCAAAGTATTAAAGTTTCAGCTTCAGCATCAGTCCTTCCAATGAATGCTCAGGGTTGATTTCCTTTAGGATGGACTGGTTTGATCTCCTTGCAGTCCAAGGGACTCTCAAGAGTCTTCTCCAACACCACAATTCAAAAGCATCAATTCTTCAGCACTCAGCTTTCGTTATAGTCCAACTCTCACATCCATACATGACCAGTGGAAAAACCATAGCCTTGACTATATGGACCTTTTTAATATGCTGTCTAGAAACCAACAGTGTAAGGAGCCTGCTGCTGACGCCCGCAATACCACAGGTAGCCCTCACGTCACGCTGTTGAGCAAGGCAGCCCCTGGTATGAAGTTCAAGGCTAGGAGGCGTCCACACGGGGAGGAGGAGGAGGGGTCTAGCACCCGTGGTCTCTAGGGCAACCTCTTGAGGGGCTGGAGGCGATTGCATCTGGACCTGCATTGCCCCCACTGTGAGCACCTGTGTGGGAGAGGTCCGCTCTCCCTGCGGGGCTGTGCCCTCGGCCCGCAGTCCTGGGAGTAGCCAGAAGGTGGCAGGAGCGGCCCCCACACCAGTGCCGAGCGCGACTGCGGAGTGTGTTAGGGAACCGGGGTGGTCAGCCTGCTCAGGCCTCCTTTCCTTCCGTGTTGAGGCGCCCACGTGGGGCCCACCCACGTGATGTGTGTGTCATCAGGACCAGAAGGGCAGGTGCTGGGCCCTTTCTTATCATCGGCATCTGAGGGGACGGTGCTTGTTCTCTGGTGACTATGGGGTGTCTGGGCCTGGAGCTTGGCCAGGTTCCCACCTTGGGCTGGATGCCCCCTTCCTCACACTCTCTGCCCTCGGGGGAGGTGACAGTCCTCCTACTGTGATGCACAGACTCCCCCCTGCCAGGGGTCACGGCGTGAGGCTGAGGCCCGGGGTGCTCTGGGGAGACCGTGGGGGCCCTCCCCGAGGAGTGACCGGCCCCGGCCTGCCTTCTGAGCCCACGTCGCGTTTGCGCGTGTCGCCAGCGTCCGCCGGTCCCCTGGGCGGCTCTGCCCCTGCCAGCAGGGTGGGCTCGGGGGACCTGCCTCATCCGACCCAGCATCTGGTCTGGTCTCTGCTGCCGGACCGGAGGGCTCAGGGCCACGTGGGACTCACGCCTGCTTCCACCGGGTCCGGTCTTCACCCTGAGGTCAGGCAGAGTGTGTGCACCGCCAAGGCAGGCCGGGGGCTCGGGGGACTCCCTTCCACTGTGTCCTGTTAGAACCAGGGAGGCGAGGCGCCGTGCGACCTGCCACCCGCATCCCGTGCACCAGCGAGGCTCCTGCTTCCTCATCCCCAGCCTTGGCTCCTTGCTGTGGGGGCCTCTCCCGCACTACTGGGGAACCCCGCATCGCTTCTCCCTCCCAGTTGCCCTCCTCTCCGCCGTCGGGTGGGTACAACATTGTGCACACAGCTCCACGTCCCAGAAAGTTCCTTCCCCACGCCAGGGCCGTCTCGTGGGTGCGGCAGGAGGCCAGGGAGCCCAGCACCCTTGGCTGCAGTCCATCCTCGCCGGGGGGTGTGTTGCGGCCCGGGGCGGGGGGCGGCGTGGTTCCATGATGCAAGAGCTAACTCCACGGAGACACTGTGCCGTCCGCTGGCCTCATCCCCCTATTGTGGTGTCTTCCCGAGCCAGCCCCATGGCTGCCGTGAGCTCGTGGCCACGAGCCAGTCTGATTGACAGTCAAGCCCATGGGACACTAAGCTGGACCCTGGTGCCACCGCCACGCAGCTCGGCTTCCCTGTGCGGGCCTGCAAGGCCCACCCCGATGTGGGGTCCCCAGCACCGGGACCCTGGCGTTCGTCTCCCAGCACCTTGTCTGGGCCCAGGCACAGCGCCCGGGGGTGTCCCTGAAGTCTGATCCTCAAGTCGGTGGTCCCCACCTCCCCGCAGGCCACGTTCCCAGGTGGCCCTCGGGTGGGCAGGGGCACGTTCCAAGCCTGCCCCCCACCCTCTCCTCGGGGCGGCCGCCCTCAAGACCTCACGGGCCTTCTGGATCTTGCTTTGTAGTGGCGAGGCCTTCATCCCCAGTTCCAGAAATCACTTTTCGCAGTGCCAGGCCCTGCTGAACAAAATCGCCTCCGTGAACCCCCAAACCGAGATCGACGGGTTTCGGAACATCTGGATCATCAAGCCTGCAGCCAAGTCCCGAGGCCGAGGTGAGTCTCAGCCGGGTGCCTGCGCGGACAGCCAGCCCGGGGTGGGGGCTGGGTGCTGGGCTCCCTGGAGGCTCCGGACTCACGGGTCCTGGGGAGCAGGCGTCCCACGACCCTGCTCATCACAGCTTCTGTTCTGTTTTGCCAAGTAATTAAGATTACTTAGAACGTTCCATCTCTGTTCCTCAGTTACACAGGCCTCCTGTGTTCCTTTTTGTATGTGCTTGCTCGCCAGCTGCTAGACTTTAGGGAGGTCCCTGTGTCCAGCATCTGGGGGCCTTGTCCTTGGGTGGTCGTGAAACCCCTGGAGGTGCCTGTCCTGCGCCCCCCGTGAGCCCTGTCCCTGGTGACCCCTGGCTTCAGCTTTTTACTTCTTCCCGTGTCACAGCTATGCCCGTGTCCTCCTCTTTATCCCTAATGATAAAGACTGTGCGTTCTTCGTTTAAAAATAGAGTTTGAAGGTGGTTTTCTAATCTTACGAGCGCTCCCAAAGAACCATCTTTCAGTTGCATTTTTTCTATCTTCCCATGAGGGATTATTCCCCTTGGTGCTGACTTAAATGCTGAGCTTATTTGTCCTTTTACAGCTTAGAAATTTTCAGGTTCTGGAAATGCCTTCACAGTACAACCTTACCTGCATCCTCTTGTTCATGTTATGGGATGCTCTCTTTCTCCTATAAAAAAGACATTACCTGATGTCTATCTAAGTAGATATTACCTTTTGTTTGCATATTCTATTTGCCCCTTGGGTTATTTGAGGAGTTTTATCATTGTTGTAAATTCATAAGCGGTTACTTCTTATGTGATTTTTAAAAATCTTTATTAATAGTTTGTGACATTCCTGCATTCAGTCCTGAACGTCTTCCATCCTGAAGCCTTCTCTTTCTTGGGCTTCCACCTGCTCTCAGCCTGCACCCTTGGGGCCGCGGCAGGGCCCCCCCAGCTCTGTCCTGAGCCTAGACTTTCCTTGCACTGCCCACACTGCCCGCCTCAGGGATGCTCCACAGACTCCTCAAACCCTGCTGGTCAGAACTGAATGCACCCTGTTCTGCCTGGTCACTGGCTGTGCCCCAGCCCCTTCCCCTATCCTGGTGCCCCCCCATGCCCCTGCCCCACAGCCCTGTGCCCCACACCCTATCTCCCAGCCTGGTGTCCCCATCCTGGTGGCCCCACATCCTCTGCCCCACCCAAGTACCGCCAGCCCCGACCCCTGTCCCTGACCCCACCCCTGACCTCTGCCCCTGACTCCAACCCCGGTGCCCCCATCCTGGTGCCCCCACCCTTGCCCCTGACTGGTGCCCCTTCTGGTCTTGGTCCAGGACAATGTCCGGGACCTGCAGCTTCGTGCTGGACCCTGGTTGCAGGGTGGGGAGGTCTCACCCTGCCGTCACAGAACAGCCAGGTCTCTCGTCCTGTGAGGGAAGCTCCCTCGTGTCCTCTGCCCCCAGCCTTGCAGGTGGCGTCCCCCACCCACCCCAAGAGCCAGACTGCCCACATCGTGGCAGCTGTCCTCGAGACCAGTCAGCTCTCCTCACGCTTGTCCATCACAGGTGGCAGGGAGGTGGGGGGGCCTTTGCCTCGTGACGCAGTTCAGGCTTCAGGGGTGTCCCAGCAAGGACAGCGAGCGCTCAGGGCCTGTCGGCGGCATTAAACGCTGCAGCCCAGGGACCCCAACCCCGCCTCCCCCGCTGCCCCGTCTGTCCGGTCACGCTGGGTGTGAGCCTCGCGGGCCCTCGGAGCCCCTGGAACAGCCCGGCGCTGCCTGCTGATTCCCCCGAGGCCACCGGCCGCCCGCCCCCCGCCCCCCGCCCTCCCCGTTCTCATGTCCTCTCTGAAGCCCTGGGCTGGCCTCGCGGTGGGTGAGCAGGGGGGGCTGCCCTGGCTGCGGCCTTGACCCGAGGGCAGAGCCGCTGCGCCATGCCCCGGGGGTCCCTGGGCGCACGCTGGGGCTCGGGCTGAGCGCTGGCCTCTTGCAGACATAGTGTGCCTGAACCACGTGGAGGAGATCCTGGAGCTCGTGGCTGCCGACCAGCCGCCCGCCAAGGACAACAAGTGGGTGGTGCAGAAGTACATCGAGACGCCGCTGCTCATCTATGACACCAAATTCGACATCCGGCAGTGGTTCCTGGTCACCGACTGGAACCCGCTGACCATCTGGTTCTACAAGGAGAGCTATCTGCGCTTCTCAACGCAGCGCTTCTCCCTGGACAAACTGGACAGGTCAGTGGGGTCAGCTTGGCACTGTCCAGGGCGGGTTCCCACCAGCACGGAGCGCCAGGCTGGTCTCGTGTCTGGTGGGGCGCTGGGTCCTGATTGGGCCACGGAGGTTCTGCAGTCTCCCTCTGCCAGGGGTGGGCTCTGGCCCCCTGCCCATCAAGGCCAGGGTCCTGCATCCCCAAGGGGCATGTATGTTCACCAGGAAATCCCAAAAGCACCGTCTGCCATGTGCTCGGGGGCACCGGCTGGCATGGAGCCGCCCTCTGTGGTGGCTGGGGAGGCTGAGGGGCCAGCCGTGCTCGTCTGCTGACCCACGTGGGCTGCGCTCAGGGTGCGGCGGCCCTGCCTTCTGCATGGCCGGCACTCTCAGTCCACTCGGCATGTGGGGAAGGACAGGAAGGGCTCCTTTGGGAGTCCCCTGGGAGCCAGCCCGTCAAATTCTGCAGTAGCCCCTGCAGGGCATTCTCTTTGTGAGTCCCCAAAGCCCTGGGTCGGGCGTCCTGCAGGTCGGGGACTTGCTAAAGCATCTGGGAGGTGGGGTGTGGCCCCTGATGAGGCAGCTTGTGGGACACAACGTGAGGGCGGCCTGAGGAGTCCTTGGAGGAGGACCCCAGCCACGCCTACCAGAATGAGAGGGCAGAGGGCACCTGACACATGAGAGGCCAGGGTGGTGCAGGGGGCACTGTGTGTCGAGGTGGTGGGGTGCCAGGCAGGGGCTCAGACCTCCAGAAATGGGTGCCCCTTGGTGGATGAACCTGCCACCCACCAGGGCCTCACAGTGGGCAGGCTATGTGTGCGGTGGGGATGAGGGAGGCCGCCAGCGAAGTCTCGGGAACGTGCCATTCTCCTGGACAGGTCGGCGGTGCCACCTCACTGTCTGAATGGAGGGCTAATGTGGTTCTGCTTTGTGGCCACACTCGGGGCGCCGGGGTGCACAGGCGTCTTGGTGGGGGATACGGGGGAGTCCATAGGAATCACGAAGGCCGAAGGTTGCCTAACAGAGACCTTGCAGGAGGTGGTTCTCTGTGCTCAGGCTGGAGCTGTGAGTACACCTGGAGTCACCTGGCAGGGGCAGGCTGCTGGGACAAGCCCCGGGCGGCAGCTCAAGGAGCACAGTGCCCACCAGGCCGGGGGGACCCGGCGGAGGACTCTGGGTGGCTGGGCAGTGGGAGGTCCACAGGGCCCCTTCCAGCCTGCCAGGCCCTGCCAGCTGTGGGCTGTGTGCCCAGCGGGCCTCCGTCGTCTCTGAGCTGTGTCTCCATCTGGGAACGAAACCCTCCCCCAGGCTGACAGAGCCCCTGACATTGTTTTGAACTGTGTCCGCACCACAGCGTGTCTTCAGGGTCCGGGGCGCGTCCCGTTTCTGTGTCTGTCTTACGGGTCACAGGCGGGGCCTCCCCACCAGAACCAAGTGGCAAAGGACGTGCTCAAACGAAAATGACTGACAGGAGGCATGTATTTTACAACCTCCTATAGATGCTACTCAACCTAAATCTTACTTAGAACAAGGCCAGGGTATACAGGAACTAGCTGAAGTTTTCGGTTAGTGAGTCTCTCTCGGAGTGCCAGCCCTCCCCCAGCGGCAGGAGGGGAAACCGCTCCCGGGGTGGGACTGGCTGGAGGCCCTCGCTGGCGGCCGGGGGCTGGCTGGCTTCCCCGCAGACCTCGCCTCCCCCAGCGGGGCCCCCAGGTTGAACAGGAGAGGGACTGAGCTCCTGACACCTAACCCCAGCCTTGCCCCGCAGCGCCATCCACCTGTGCAACAACTCCATCCAGAAGCACCTGAAGAACGACAAGGACCGCAGCCCCCTGCTGCCCTGTCACAACATGTGGACCAGCACCCGATTCCAGGAGTACCTGCAGAAGAGGGGCCGCGGGGCCGTGTGGAGCAGCGTCATCTACCCGTCCATGAAGAGGGCCATCACCAACACCATGAAGGTGGCCCAGGACCACGTGGAGCCACGCAAGAACAGCTTCGAGCTGTACGGCGCCGACTTCATCCTCGGGCGCGACTTCAGGCCCTGGCTGATCGAGATCAACTCCAGCCCCACCATGCACGCGTCCACGCCCGTCACGGCGCAGCTGTGCGCGCAGGTGCAGGAGGACACCATCAAGGTGGTGGTGGACCGCAAGGCCGACCGAAACTGCGACATCGGCAACTTCGAGCTGCTGTGGAGACAGGTGGGGGGGGGTTGTCTCTCTTCCACTGGCCACCTGGGGATGGTCTCTCCGCACATCCCGGGGGGGTCTCACGCGGCCCAGCTGGCCTTTGCCGTTCTTGCAACCTCTTGTCCCCAACCACCTCCACCTCTGTGGTGCCAGGCAGGACAGGGGCCCCTCTAGGCCATTCCTCTTCTCTCCTGCAGTGTCCCCCCTCCTCCTGGGGTGAAGATCCAGCCTTCCTTCATGGGTCTTTATAGGGGGCTGCTCCCCTGGGGAGCCCTCCTGCAGGCAGGGCAGCAAGACCCTGTGACCTGGCCTCCCTGGGGTGGGGGGAAGCAGGGTTAGGGTTAGAGTTAGGGAAGTGTGGCTGGGGCTTCTCCCTGAGGCCTCAGACCTGACCGAAGACTAGGAAAGGGCCTGCTGGCCCCCCTGACCTAGCCCCACTGTCCCCAGCCTGCGGTGGAGCTGCCCACGTTCCAGGGCTCCGATTTGCTCGTGGAAGGCGTGGGCATGAGGAAAGCCAAGAAGCAGATGCCAGTGATCGCCAGCTTTGACTCTGTGCCTCCGCTCTCGGACATCCATCTGCTGAAACAGAGGTGCCCCTCAGCCATGCTAGACCTGGACCGGGGACCCCCACTCATGGCTCTGCACCAGGATTTGAAACTGAGAGGCGAAAAGGTACTTCCTTGCACCTTGCCTGTGCACTTACACAGGCTGGTGGAGAGGAGCGCTAAAGCCAAGAGTGGCCACAGGGAGTCCGGCAGGAAGCTCGAACTCCCCTCCTGCACCTCTCAGCACCCAGACAACAAGGCCCCCCGCCCCGCTCTTGCCAAGGCCGAGTCCGACAGACACTCAGATCCAAACTCGTTACATGTGCACCCACTGCCGCCTGTGCTTCCAAGTGTGAAGACCGCAGAGGGTGCTCCGTTTCAGCCGCCCAGACCACCAGGTAACAGCACAGGGCTTGCACCTGTTGTGAGCCCGGGGTCCGTATCTTCCAGGGCAGGGCCTATGGTCCGGGCACTGGCCTGAGCTTGGAGCACCTGGGCCTGGTCAGGTTGTCGGGATAATGAGGGTCCTGCTGCAGCGGTTCTGGGGTCCCCTGAGCACCAGGTACCCTGCACAAGACCAGCTGGGCGACAGCCTTCGCCCCTCCCCTTGGGGGATGTGGTGCCAGTGAGGGGCTGAGTTGGAGATTTGAATAACACCTCGTGCCAAGGGCGGGTGGTGGCGGCACAAGGCCCCTGTGCTGTTTTCTGAAGTTTCTGATGGAGCAGACCGTGTGTGGCCCAGGAGCCTGGCCTGGGGGTGCGCTTTGCGCACGGGTAGACAGGTGTGGGCAGCCCCCGGTCTCCAGGGGTAGCGTGTCTGTGTCTGCACCCCAGTGCTGTTTCCAGTGGCTCTGGCAGCAGATGTGGCCAAGAGAGTGCCTCCAGCCAGGGCCACAGCCCCGCCTGCCGCGTCCCAGGTGCACTCACCGCCACAGGCTCACCGGGACACGTGCAGCTGCTGTGTCCCCGCCGCCCAGCTGGGTTCTCAATGTGTCTGTCTCTGTCACCCCGGCACTAGCAGCCTCTCGGCCATCCCTGTCTCCCTGCAGATTGTAAGCTCTCAGGGACCGCGTTCTGGCTGCACCCACGCACCCGGGCTGTGCCGGACACCTCGCAGATGTTCAGTACATGCGCGAATCGCCCCCTAGAATTGCCAGCTCCAGGCACGAGGAGCCAGTGCTTTCAGAGCTGGCAGGGCCTTCGCAGGCGACCTCCAGTTTCACCTGCTCTCCTCACCCCGTGTCCAGTCTGGCACCGAGGCCCGTCAGCTCTGCCACTTAGCCACTCACCTCTCTGTGAGGGCAATGCTAGACCTGGACCGGGGACCCCCACTCATGGCTCTGCACCAGGATTTGAAACTGAGAGGCGAAAAGGTACTTCCTTGCACCTTGCCTGTGCACTTACACAGGCTGGTGGAGAGGAGCGCTAAAGCCAAGAGTGGCCACAGGGAGTCCGGCAGGAAGCTCGAACTCCCCTCCTGCACCTCTCAGCACCCAGACAACAAGGCCCCCCGCCCCGCTCTTGCCAAGGCCGAGTCCGACAGACACTCAGATCCAAACTCGTTACATGTGCACCCACTGCCGCCTGTGCTTCCAAGTGTGAAGACCGCAGAGGGTGCTCCGTTTCAGCCGCCCAGACCACCAGGTAACAGCACGGGGCTTGCACCTGTTGTGAGCCCGGGGTCCGTATCTTCCAGGGCAGGGCCTATGGTCCGGGCACTGGCCTGAGCTTGGAGCACCTGGGCCTGGTCAGGTTGTCGGGATAATGAGGGTCCTGCTGCAGCGGTTCTGGGGTCCCCTGAGCACCAGGTACCCTGCACAAGACCAGCTGGGCGACAGCCTTCGCCCCTCCCCTTGGGGGATGTGGTGCCAGTGAGGGGCTGAGTTGGAGATTTGAATAACACCTCGTGCCAAGGGTGGGTGGTGGCGGCACAAGGCCCCTGTGCTGTTTTCTGAAGTTTCTGATGGAGCAGACCGTGTGTGGCCCAGGAGCCTGGCCTGGGGGTGCGCTTTGCGCACGGGTAGACAGGTGTGGGCAGCCCCCGGTCTCCAGGGGTAGCGTGTCTGTGTCTGCACCCCAGTGCTGTTTCCAGTGGCTCTGGCAGCAGATGTGGCCAAGAGAGTGCCTCCAGCCAGGGCCACAGCCCCGCCTGCCGCGTCCCAGGTGCACTCACCGCCACAGGCTCACCGGGACACGTGCAGCTGCTGTGTCCCCGCCGCCCAGCTGGGTTCTCAATGTGTCTGTCTCTCTCACCCTGGCACTAGCAGCCTCTCAGCCATCCCTGTCTCCCTGCAGATTGTAAGCTCTCAGGGACCGCGTTCTGGCTGCACCCACGCACCCGGCTGTGCCGGACACCTCGCAGATGTTCAGTACATGCGCGAATCGCCCCCTAGAATTGCCAGCTCCAGGCACGAGGAGCCAGTGCTTTCAGAGCTGGCAGGGCCTTCGCAGGCGACCTCCAGTTTCACCTGCTCTCCTCACCCCGTGTCCAGTCTGGCACCGAGGCCCGTCAGCTCTGCCACTTAGCCACTCACCTCTCTGTGAGGGCAATTCCCACGCTTTTTTCTGTAATACACTGTGCTTCCTCCAGGCATCTTCCTAGTGCCAACTAGACACACACACCTTCAGCCTAAAAAGCAGTATTAGCTGCTGTACCAAAGTCCCTCAAACTTGTGGCTCAAACCACATTTTTTTCTGAAGGCTGGAAGTCCAAAACCGAGGTGTTGGCACGGCCGGGCTCTCAGAGCTGTAGAACCTCCCGCCTCTTCCAGCTTCTGGCGGCCACTGGCAGTCCTTGTTCCCTGGCTTACGGACACATCGCGCCAGTCTTTGCCCTGCTTCACGCGGTGTGCTTCCTGTGTATCACTCTGTCCAGAGTTCCCGCTCTGTTAAAAGGACAGCAGTTGTTGGATTGGGTCCTGCCCTCCTCTGATGTGACCTCATTTTACCTTGATTACATCTTCAAATGGTGGACGTGAACCTAGCAGGTGGGAACACCGGGCACTGCGAGCGTGGCCAGAGGGATGCGTGCTGGGCGGCTCCCTTTGGTGCCAGTCCCTGGTGCTGACGGGGGCTTGTTTGCCTCTGGAGGAGGTGATGCTGTGCATTTGCTTTGTCCTATTTACTAATAAAATGGCTTATTTTCAGACACACACCGGCCATCTAGGTCTCCTCCCCTGAAAAGCGGGTCTTTGTCTTTAGGATTGTCTTTAGGATTGCAGTTCTTTCTTGCTGATGTGTAGGGGTGACAACCACCTACTCTCGGATTCGCCTCCTCTTTCAGTTGATTCGTGTGGCAAACACTGTCTCCCAGTTCGTGACTTGCCTTTTCACCCCTTGATGGTAACTTTGGATATAAAGCCGCGTTGTTGTACTTCAGGTGCTCAGTCATGTCCAATTCTTTGTGACCCTGTGGACTGTAGTCTGCCAGGCTCCTCTGTCCATGGAATTCTCCCAGGCAAGAAAACTGCAGTAGGTAGCCATTTCCTCCTCCAGGGGATCTTCCCGACCCAGGGATCAAACCTGAAGCTCCTGTATTGGCAAGCTGTTTCTTTACCACTGGGCCACCACGGAAGCAAAAGTCACCTTAACTTTTAATAAACTCCAGTCGGTCAAGCTTTTCCTCCAGCTGGTGATTTTTGCGGCTTGTCTCCAAACCCTGAGGCCGTGAAGACCTCCTCTTCTGGAAGCACTGTTGTGGCACATGCCAGTCTTGAATGCTCCAGAAGCTGACTTGGCAGGTGATGGGAGACGGAGAGTCCAGCGGCCCCTCCCCCGCTCACCTGCAGGCTCTTCTGGACTTTTGTTCAGCTCCACTGGTTTGTTTGCCCTGGGCTAATGCCACAAGGTCTTTATAACTGTAGCTTTGTTGAATGTCTTCATGCTGGTCAGACAAGTCCTATAGCCTTGCTTTTCTTCCTTGAAAATGACTAGGCTATTCTTGACCCCCTACACTTCCATTCAAGTTACAGGATTAGGTTGTCAAGATCTACCAACATAATTCTTGTAGTTAAAATTTTTTAAATGTTTATTGATGTTAAAGCCATCACTTTGGTGAGAACTGACTTCTTTACATTATTGAGTCTTTGAATCTATATGAATGTGGAATATCTATTCATAAATAAATCCTTTAAGGCCTTTCAATAAGCTCTTAGAATTTTTTTTGTCATGGTATTGCACTTTTTTGTGTTGGATTTAGACTTACATATATTTTATTTTGTATTCTATTTTAAATAGTATCAAACTTAAAAATATTTTCCTACAAATTGTGGCTGGTTGACAAAGAAGAAATTGATTTTTGTGAGTGGATTTTTTTGAAAATCCAGCTATCTGGCTATCATTTCTATTAGTTCATTAACATATTTGAAAATTGTATTTTTAACATACAGAATTATATCAACTAGTGAGTTTTCCTTTTTCCTGCAACCGTTATACCTTTCATATCTTTTTCTTATTTTATTGACTGTCTAGGACCTTGTTCATTCATTCATTTTTCTCATCCCATTGGATCTCAGGTGCATGCATTCTGATTCATCGTAATTCTTGGTTCATGATATAGTTTCATTGTTTGTCCTTGCATGGCCTACTTTTATTTAGATCATTTTGATAGTGTAATTAGAACTTGCACACAGGTTTTGATTTGGATTTTACTGTGGCCAAAGTTATCAGTCTTTCTTTTAGTCAATGTTATTTTGTCTCAAGGAATTTTTCCTTACCTTGAGGTTTAAAACTTTATTTACCTACATTTACTACTAAGAGTTTCAAATTTTGTTTTTGACATAAAAGTCCTAATCCATCTGGAGTTGACTTTTGTATATGTTGTGAGGAAAGAATGAAATTTTACTTTTGTCTATGTAGATAATTTTTCAATTATTTATTGAAAACAGTTTCTGTGCTCTTGTGAATGTAGTGTTGCACGCGCGTGTGTGAGTGTGCATTTCTGGAGTCTCTGCTCTGTCTCCGGCCCAGCGCCACACTGTCCGTGTTTTCTGGTGGGACAAGCTTCCTCTCTGCTCATCTTCGTAAGAGTCTTGGTCGCTCCTGACCTCATTCTTTTCTATATAAATGTCATAATTGTTTTATCAAGTCCAACAAAAGTCGTATTGAGATTTTGGTTGGATTTGCATTGAATTCATAGATCAATTTGGAGAAAATGGATAAATTAATGAAATCATGTCTTCTGTTCATGAACAGAACATGTCTCTCCATTGACTTAGATCTTTATTTTTTTTATTTTTTAATATTTGTTTTTATTCATTTATTTATTTGGCTGTGCTGGGTCTTAGTTGCAGCATGCAGTATCTTTTAGTTGTGGCATGTGATATCTAGTTCCCTGACCAGGGATTGAACCTGAGCCCCCTGCACTGGGAGCTTGGAGTCTTAGCCATTGGACCACTAGTGAAGTCCCTAGATCTTCTTTAAATTTTAGAATTTCCCCACCAGAGACTGTATACATCTTTCATTATATTTTTTTGTTACTGATATTCAGATTCTACTGCACATAGTGTCATCTCTCTATATAAATTTTCTCATTGTTTGTTGCTGGCATATAGAATGAAATTGATTTCTATATATTAATTTTCTATCTGCACATTTCTAAACTCTGCTGTTATTTCTGGAAATTTGCATGTTTCTTCTTTTGAGTTTCTATGTGTAGTTGTTCTACATAAATAATTATATCATGTGCAAGTAGCTTTGTATTAATGTCTCCACCTCAATCTTTTTGCCCCTAATATCTTGTCTTATTGTACTGGCTAGGACTTCCTACATAATGGTGGGCACAATTGTTGAATTTTAAAGAGAATGCTTCTAACATTTTCTCATTTATAATGACATTTTCTGTAGGTCTTAACAAAGCTATAGATACGATATATAGATATAAATGTATACATACTCTGGCATGTTAAAGTAGTTTATTTTAATCTTTATGAAGAATTTTTATTGTGACTGGGTAATGAATTTTCTCAATTTTTTTTTGCATCTATGAGGTTATAAGTTTTTTCTTCTTATTAGGATTAAAATGGTAAATAACATCAATAGGTTTTCCTTTTTCTAAGAAGTTGCCTGTATCACCTATTAAACCAACCTTGCATTCCAGGAATGATTCTAACTTGGTCTGATGTTGAGTTTGACATATGGCTGGCTTTGCTTTCTTGCATGTAGTTAAAATTGGTTCTCAACAACAGTTTATTTACATTTTTTCTAGTTCAGACTATTACAAATAGTGCTATTGTGAACACTCCTGAATTTGGAAAACATGTATTCATCTTTCTGTAGGAATGGAATTGCTGGGTCAGGCATTCAGCTTTGGTTGGCCCTCCCAAGGAATTTTCCAGGAAGACTGTGCCAATGTGTGAGTCTTCCAGTTACTCCACACTCTTCCAACAGTAGATATTTTCTGTCCTTTAATTTTAGCCATTCTAAGATTTGGCACTTTCACTGCTGTGGGCCCAGGTTTGATCCCTGTTCAGGGAAGTAAGATCTTGCAAACTGCCCACATGGTCAAGAAACCAATTTCAGGACCTTTTAATATTGACAGTCCGGCTCAACATACTCTTGTAAAGGATCTTTTTGTATTTAATTTGACAGATTTTTCTGTAACCTAGTCCTACTGACTTGAGGAGTTCTTTCTATATTCTGGATGCAAGTCCTTTGGTGGGTCTATATACTGGTATTATAAAGATGTCTTTTCTCGTTCTGAGATTTGCCTTTCACTCTCTTAGTAGTGTCTTTTCATGTACATAAATTATTAATTGCAGTATATTCCAATATATTGTCTTTATGATTAGCAATTGTGTTTTGTTTGTGAAATCTTTGCATACCCCAAAATCATAAAAAAAAAATGGTCACTTCTGTTTTCAAGCTGTATGGTTTCGCCTTTCACATTTAGAGCGGTATTCCTCCTGGAATTGTCTCTGTGACGTGCTGTAGGAACCCAGACTCATGGGTATTTGTATGGACATCCAGCTGATGCGCGTGGACGCTGCGTCCTCACGCTGTGCTGCGCCGCCTCTGTAAGACGGTGACTGGACGTGTTGTTCTGGTTTTGGAGTCTGCTCTGTCCCAGTTGTCCGTTTTCCTATCTTTATTAGGTCAGGTCTCTGCAGCAATCATGTTGCATAACAGGGACACCTCCTCCCCCACCTCAGTGGTGCTTCTTCAGCAAGCACCTGTCTCTCAGACATCTCAGGTCGGCTGCAGACGTGCGGGGCTCCACCAGGGAGGCCGAGCCAGGCTCCAGGCTGCGCAGCGAGTTCTGATCCATCCCGCGTGTCTCCCCTCCTGGGCCAGCGGCTCCCCTGGGTGTCGTCTTCACAAGGCAGATGGTATACGCTTGAGAGGGCGAGTCAGGCCACCTCTGGCCAGTGAGTAAGGAAGGGTACTCCTTAGCGGAAGAGGCGGAGCGGAGCGGATGTGGTCAAATACACCGCAGGCCACCTCTGGCCATCAGCATTCACCCTCCTTCTGCAAACAGCACACACTCGCCCCCGTCCCCTCCCAAAGTCTCCCCAGTCATAGAGCCAGGCTCCGAGTCCAGGACCTCAGGATTCCACATCACTTTTCTTCACCTGGGCACTTGTGAGCCAGAGACAAGCCTTCCAGGCCAGGATTCGCGTTCCCTTCCCCATGAGCATGGCTGTCGCTTGGATGCCGGCAGAAGACATGTGACTCCTGGGTCAGAGACGACAAGCACTCCTGGTGACTGTGACTCCAGCCTGTCTGGGAGTCCTGCAGAGTGATGCCCGTGGCCAGGTGGCTGGCGCACACACGGGGCCTGCATCACGGTGGGAACAGTGAACTTGGCGCACTCGCTGCTTTTTCAGGAAGCAGTAAGAAGCCTGCAAGGAGATGCCACCTCACCTGAGACGCGGCCCAGATGAAGGCTGGTCAGGGCCTTGCCCAGACAGATGCATCTCACAGGATACCTAGGAGGGCCCAAGAGACCAAGGGCCGTCTCCCAGCCAGAGGCGCCTGCGTGCAAAGGAGGGGCGGGACATCGCTGCTGCCCTGCCCCCGGGCCATCCTCTCCCGGGGCCCACTTGGGTCCAAGGGGTTGACTCCACTGGGCTTAGACGCCTCCTGCCCGTCGTAGGAGTCAAGGTTTCTCCTGCAGCCGCTCGGGACGAGCATCCTCCGGGACTGCTCGCCGGGCGCCCGTTCTCGAGTCGCTCCAGGAAGGCGCCTGGCTGTGC